TCACAAAAATCAATTGCCGAATATTTCAGTCTTCCTGGAATTCCATCTCAGACCTCAGTCCTTGAACAAAAAAATACAAAGGAAGAAAGGAAAGATAAACAGTATATCCACAAATTCCAGTCCATCGACAGTGGGCTGAATAGAGGTAATAGTTTGCTGACACACTACACCTGTTATAACTCTAGTTAATGCCTCAGCATCATGAGGGCTTTCTTGCCCATTTTATCACATCTGCTTTCTGGTTCCCAGCCTGCATCATGCAATACTACATTCCAAAGCTCCCTCCACCATTCATATGGTTACCTACTCACTTTGGCTTTAAGCAATATCTTTCCTGCTAACTTTGTCCTCCAACAAACATTGCTAAAACTGAGCTTATCACCTCATCACCATACCCACAAGTTTTGCATTTCAAACCAGATATGACCCAGGAAAGAAGGGGGGAAAATATACCAGATCTAGAGCTTTATTTTCAAGCAAATGCACTGAACTGATTGTCTGAATGGATTGCAGTTGCCCCTCCATTTTCACGGATTTCAAGTCCATGTCCCTCACCCGTTCACTGACAGTGAACAGAGGGGGGCAAAATGGGGTGCCCGCCCATGGTGCACACCTCCATTCAAGCCAATTGGGCTTGAATATTCATGATTTTCCATTTTGGCGGGGGGGGGTGTCCAGAACTGATCCCCTGCAAGAACGGAGGGGTGACTGTACTTTGGAAAATTCGAAATTGTTGAGCATAGAAGGATTTAACAACCGATTCAGATGGCACAGTTACATGTGGTATGGTAAAGCAGCAGTGCATAAAGTCTTTAAAAATGTGGTAAGAAGAGCCCTATTGAGGGTCTGGGTTGAATTCAAGAAGAAAACATACAGAAAAATCCCTCTCTGGGTTTTACCTCATGAAGCCTTCTTTGGAAGATGGAGTGTGTTAAATACAAGGCTGAGATATAGAGACATATTTAAAAAACAAGGACTTAATAAATATGAGCTAAAATCCATAAATGAACTAAAGCAATTAGATCCAAAAATTCATTGGTTTCTGCACATACAACTAAAAGAGAGATTTAAGATTGACATTAAACTAAAGGACTTTGGAAATGAAGCTAAGGAATATGATGAAATTTTCTTAAACCTGAGACAAAAAATACTGCTAAATTATACAAGATACTACTGAATAGAAAGTAAGAAAGTGACCAAATTACAGATGTAATGATAAAATGGGCAACAGAGAAAGGGGGAATAATAGACTTGGGCAGTTGGGAGTATGCCAGAAACAAAACAGAAAAATTTACAACAGGACCTGAAAGCGAACTATTGGAAAATGGAACAAACAAAGGTGGCAATCCTAACACACACACCCCACAAAAAATAGCAAAAATATATAAAACAAACTCAAACAATTGTTGAAAGTGTAAACAAAAAAATGGTTCAGGTTTCATACATGGTGGAGCAGTCTAAAATTGATTTTTTTTTCCTGGAAGAAAATACACACTACAATACAAGAGATTCTGAACATAAAATTTGAATTTAGACTGGAAATTCATCTATTATATATATTAAACAAGATGCCTCTCCAGAGAGAGACAAAATATTGGAGAATTCTGCTGTACATGATCTTGGCAGCTTGACTATTACTAGCACAAGTATGGAAAAATAACGAAGTACTATCATTAGATGACTGGCTCTTGAAATTAATAGACATGATACAAATGGATAAGTTAACCTCTTGGCTAAATTAGAAAGATGATAAAACAGAGGAAGAGTGGTGTCCTATAACAGAGTTTTGCAAAAGAAGGTGGCAGTAAGAAAGCAGGCAGTGGGGCGTTTAAGAGATGTTTTAATTTAAATATAAACAGGATATTTAATATTTGAATTAGAGAATTTGAGAGACTCTTTTTAACAATTTTGACAAAAAACTAAGACAATATGGTTTATCGAATAGACAAAGATAGAAGGTCTGAATGCCATGGAAACATGGGAAGTGCTGAATATAATTTTTATTTGAATGTATTATGATTATATAAAAGAATCAAATAAGCTTGTAAGTTTGTATTGAAATTATAAAAATAAATATGAAAAAAGGTTTTTCATTTCTATTGCCATTCACACACACAGCCTGCTCATTCATTGGGTATAAATGTCTCTTCCTGGGCACTTCACTCCATTCATCAGATTAAATAAATGTCTACGAAAGCTTATGCTACCAATTTCTTTCTTTCACCCAGTTATTCTCAAAGGTGCTACAATATCCCTTTGGATTCTGATCCAGCCTAAGGTTTGTTGCAGACCGGCCTGCAGCCGCACGCCGGCCTCTCCAACCCAACCTCAATGCTATCCTGACACCATGTGCCATTATGCATGGCGTGCGGCATCAGGATGCCCTTCCAGCTCAGTGTTTAGGGGTGGCAAAAGGAAGGATTGGGGCCATGGCATGGGGTTGCTGTGGCCCCAATCCACCACTCCCCAGGGTGGCGGTCTGCTACCCTAAATGGGCCATGTGCATCAACCCTAATACATCTATGTCTTTGAAATTTTTGACTCTCTTATTTATCTGTGATCTCCATCTCTGTAGTTTGGCTGGGCACTAATAACTCTGGCTATAGGGAATAGTTGTTGTTTGTTGTTGTGTGCCTTAAAGTCACTTCCTATTTATGGTGACCCTAAGCCAACCCTACCATGGAGTTTTCTGGGGCTGAGACCCAAAGTCATCCAGTGGGTTTCCATAGCGAAGCAGAGATTCAAACCCTGGTCTCTAGAGTTATAGTCCAGTGCTCAAACCACCAAGCCATGCTGGCTCTGTAGAGAATATGTTTCCTAATTATACAGTCAGCCCTCCATATCCACAGATTCCTTATCCACAGATTCAAGCATCCATGGCTTGAAAATATTAAAAAAATAATATATACATTCCAAAAATCAAACCTAGATTTGGCCATTTTATATAAGGAACACCATTTTACTATGCCATTGTATTTAATAGGACTTGAGCATCCACAGATTTTGGTATCCACAGGGGGTCCTGGAACCTCAGAGGATACCAAGGGCCTACTGTAGTCTGGTTTTTTGTTTGTTTGTTTGTTTTTACAGTTCCAACATGTAGAATTTCCATTGATATCCATGAACCAAAGACAGAATAAATGCTCTGTTGATAAGGCTGAAACCAGAGCTTGGGAAAGTTAATTTGGGAGTCCAGTTACAAAATCCCCCCAGCCATCATGGCTAGTGGTCATGCTGGTTACAAGATTCTGAGATTTGTAGTACAAAAAAAGCTCTGATTAAAGTAGGGCTTTAACTGAACTAAAGATTGACAGCAGATGAACCCCATGGCCTCTGAAAATATGCTACTTAAAATATAGAGGCATGCACCTGCAACTGAAGCAGGACTCTCTGTAGGGAGGGGATGCAGATGCTCACATAAGCCCTTCCCACAACATCTCCACACATTTGGCTGCTATTGAGATAATCATGCATTTTATGTGAAGTTTTGGAAATGGTTTTGTGCAAGCGTGTTTGGTGGAATGCACTCACAAAGTTCCCATGATGGAACCTTGCTTTATCAGGATTCTCAATCATGGGAGATTTGTAAGCACATAATGGCCGGAATCCTCTTGGTACCTTACACTTGCATAACCAGGGGTTGCACAAGTGTAAATGCATCTTAAGAAGTTGTGCAAGGAGGTGTCCATTACTTACTAATAGAATGGTTTTCTCCAGGCTGTGCAACGGTAGCTTGTTATCTGTTGGAGGCAGCTGTGCCCCAACCCAAACGATTGCTCACGGGGGTACTGGGAGAAGCTCCCTTCCTATCCATTACAATTTGCCCTCCAGAACTGGCAGAACATTATGGTTCTTCAAAAAAAGATCTCAGCCTTTGCCTCCCTTCCAGAAACTTATTTACATTTAAGGCAAACACCTGTATAGAGCTAAGAAAGGACTTGGATTCAAATTGACATCATCTTAAACCAAAATCTTGTTAACTTTTCTCCTCAGGATGTATCTACACCTCAAACTGTAGAGGGTGTTTTCTATCTTTGTTCTGTTCTGTTTTAAAGAGGTGGTTAAAAATTGTTCTGTTTGGCTTGATTTTAAACATAGGATTGTTTCTGCTCCCTGGGGATTTAATGTTAGTTTGACTATCAAATTGGTTTGTTAGTTTAAATAAATTATAATATTTTGGTTATTTTTCTGCTCCACCTTGAGGGTCCTATTTGGGCTGAAAGGTAGCTTATAAATATTTAAATAGAAATTAATATGATGGACATTTCCACTTTCCATTGAAACTTGTGGAATACAGTATTGGGATTCTGTGGCATCACTGGGGTTGGTGTCACCCAGTGGGGTAACTCATGGTATCACACACACACACCCTATTGACCTCTTCCCATACCACACTATGCAGAATTCTTAGTGATGTTCTTTGTACTAATGGTACTTGTAAATTGTAATTCCTATATATCACTTAATGTAAAGACAACCGTTGTGGCATAAACAACTAGCAAAATTAAAACTATACATTTAAATTACAATATTGTATGCAGAGCCAAAATGTGTTTACATGTACATAGCTTCGTGTGGTTGAAGCGAAAATTTGGCAAGATGTGAGGTTCTTAAAGAAAAATTTAAAAGATTTGTTTAATTTTTTTAAAAAAAATTAAAAAACTGGAGCATCTCCTTTCTCCTCCCACTGACCCTTGTCCCACTTACACCATCTCTTCAGCACTTAAACAGATGCATGCAAATG